AAAAACTTCGTCCAGTATTGAAGATCCAACAGTTGGGAATGAGGGATATTCTCCATGAAATGATGCCAAGATTTCATTTAAATTCAAAGACAAAAAAAAAACTAAAGCAGTTTCAAAATATATCTAAGTAGAGAAAAAGTACTCAATACGAATAACATAAAAGTTTAACCCGCTGCTATCTATGGCGTGCCAGGCAGCGTTCTTCCGATTTTTGCTGATTTATCTATTACTCTATAAACACCAACGAAGTGCATTAACTGCTGAGAAACCTGACCAAGTGTAGGGTTTTACAAATGGCAGCGTTGCAGTCAAGCAAGCGGCGACAGCAACGCTTCCACGTGCTGCAAGGCTCCACTCCTCTTCCCGACCCCAAGTACAACTTTCCTCAGCGCTGGGCGCTGTAAAGAAAACGTGCGCCCCGCTTCGCGCTTCTCCGGCAAGAAAGCCGATGGCGGTACGAGGCGCCAGCCACATGGTGCAATAATCAGGGGAGGAGAAGCAACAGCAGCCCTGAATCGCAGCTAGGAGTGGCTTCCGCTGGAAAGCCCCACCACAAGGCCGGGCGAACGGACGAGCTGGCGCCGCCTTTCCCTCTGGTGCTCGGCGCGCAACAGAGGGCCGACAACAAGAAAAAAATTCTCCGGCGCCTCGCTTTCCCAAAGGCGGGCGAAAGCAGAGGAATATCTTCAGCCATTTTTCCCCCTTCCAACTATCAACCACGCCGCTCCGCTCCCGTCGGGGAGCCTTCCCGCCACTCCTCCGCTCGGCCTCCCGAGGCCTGGAGCAGTCGCAGCGCCCAGCCCTCGACTCCCGTTGCCGCGCAACAGAGATCGCCTCCCGGGGCCTACCCCGTTCCTTGCGCTGGCGAGCCTCGCGTCCCCCTCTTACCTGCGGCCTAACCGCTGAGGAGGTCTTGGAGGGCCGCTGCAGCAGAGGAGAAGGGCCTCGGCTGTTCTGCCGGCGCGGCCGCCGCCTCCTCTGCTGCAGCAACAAAGGACTTCCGCCCCCGGCCGCGCCTGCTGCCGCTGCTCTCTTACTGCAGAAGAAACTCAGGGCTTTGCCGCGACCGCACTGAGCCGGACCCCTCCCCCAGGCTGGCGGCCAGCAAGCGGCGCCTGGCCCTGCTTGCTGCGGCTGGTGCGGTCGTGGCCAATGCAGAGGCACGACGCGGCCCATCGCTGTTTTCTCTGCCCTTTCCTAGGGACCACGGGGCAATCGGCCGGCCCTCGGCGTATCGGCAGGAAGCAGCCCGTTGTCTCCAGGCTCACACTCGAGCCGCCAAGACGGGAGGAGATCGTGGCTTCTGGCGCCTGGCATGATGCTTCTTCGCCTAGACCAGCAGTCAGGATTAGGGAAGGAAGATGCTTCGTCGTTTGCGTCTTTCCCAGGATGCGTCTTTTCATATTTAGTTAGAGCAAAGTGACGTTTCTCACGGTGCTTCACTAATTCCACTAGTTACTAAAAGCCTATTTTTGAGTTATACGAAAATATTATTGGGTCTGCACCTTGAACGATTCGTTGAACTAGTTCACTTACTAAATCACAATTGGTTGGGATCAAGCAGAATGGTACAGAATTAATTATGTTTAACAAAGTTTAACAGAGTAAACCAAACTTTACACTTTAGCATATACCATATGAACTAAGCATATTGATCCTGAATTTATTTCCTTCCGACTGAAAATGCTCAGGAGCCTCTGCCTTTCGGTAATAAATGTATATTCTGGCTCTCAAAGATGTTGCTTTTGGGTTGTTTTTCTCAACCCCATGTAAGAATAGTAAATGTAATGGGAATCTTTAAAAGGAAGAATAACACAAAAATTAATTGCATATAATGTTCTACTTTCTTTATATCTCATGCCAGCATACGTCGTAGTAGTTTCATCTGGTTTTATCCCCACAATCACTATGTGAACAAAGCTGGCCTGAGACTGACCTTAGATAATTCTTCCAAACTTACTTTTTACAAAAAATAATTGGCACGACCTTAGGCATAGAACTGTCTGAAAGTGGATCTCATTAATGGTATGTGATACTTCACTATTAATGTTGTCCTCTTACTCTTTACCACTAAGTTTGCTCAGGAGCTTTTGATGAAGGAACTCATCAAACTCAGGGAAGATGGTGAAGGATCTCACCTTTTTGATAACACAACATCTCTTGAGTAGTCTATTTGTTAAAAATCTTGTCTATTTGTTTAAAAAAACCTAGTGAGATATACATTTATGGAAACCATAGTGGCTCTTTTTCAAGAAGGCTACAAGGCGGCTATGATTTTGCTATTCATTAATATTTACCATTACAGTACTTCCCTAGAGCAGATACTATACTAACAAGAATATTTATTATTCCAGTTCCTTTTTGAATATTGGAATCAAATTGATTATTTTTCAGTCCTCAGGAACAATCTCAAAATAAAAAATACACATTTTTCTTTTTAAAAAAAGGCAATACTATGAACTGGGAGATTTATTTATTTTTGGTTGATTAACCTGGCTTATAATTTTTAATCTTTTGTTACCTCCAACTTAATCCCCAATCAGTTTGATCTGATTCACCACCAAAAAACTCAGGTTTAGCACAGATCTGTCCTAAATCTTTAATAATGAAAACAGAAGTGCAGAATTCAAATCAGTTCCCTCTGCTGTTTCCTTATCCTCCTGCAGCACTCTGTTAAAAACCCAGCCTGAAATTAAATGTTTTTAATCAGTTACCTATTCTAAATTACTTGAAAGGTTTTTGTTGTGTGTTTTAATGTTTTTTGCCAGGAGCTCTTCAAAGTCAAAACATTTCCTCTCAAATATCTTAATTGCAGAAGCCAGTCTCCCGTGGATCATGTGCCAAAGTATAATCTGAGTCCAAATCAATTCCTTTGTTTCATCCCATTGTTCAATATTTTAATGCTTTGTTTGTCTGTAGTACCTATTTCTTCACTGACAAGATGGAGTTGACTATTTTGGTTAAGCATATAATTGGAAAATAAGATTCTCTTGAAACAAGAGTGTACAGCATGATGCATAAGAGCTGAACTCCTTTCATGCAACATCTGAAACTCCATCCAAACACAATGATAAAGAAACATTATTTGTGTCATAAGGCTTGGAACGTTTGGAAATTATAATTATTAAAATAGGCTGAAAAGACTTCCCTCTGAAGCCAAGGAAGAATTCCTCCCAAACTTCTTGGTTTGGCCCAAATGTGTGTTAAAGGACATTCCCCACTGTATTCAGTCTGCCCTACCACCAAGTTAAATGAGGTTTGTGGCCACTGAATAGTTTTTCCTTGTCCAACAGAATTCCAACAGCTTCAGATTGAACTGTGCATTTCTAGTTGTTAAGGCACCAAGCAAGAAACTTAGGAGACCATCTTAGCCATGAAAGCCAGCTGGGTGACTTTGGGCCAATCACTCTCTCAGCCCATCTCACTTTATAGAGTTATTGTTGTGGGGAAAGCGGAGGAAAGTGTGTTGGATATGTTCACACCTTAATTGTAAAAATAATAAAGGCATGAAATAAATAAAGATAAAACACAACCCAGCCAATGTTACTGTGTTAGCTATGATTACAGATGTTGTCCAGAAATTTAAGGCTGCACGGCATTTCCAAAAGTAGACAGCCAATTGCATTAGGTTAACCTCTATTTTAATGTTACAGTGAGACAAGGAAGCTCTTCAGATGGGAACTGTGTTACTTCACTTTCTTTGAAATGCTATAAGCCGAAAGCTTAGGAGGGAGGTAGGGGGAGTTCTCTTGCTCAGTGTGGACATTGGGGCCTTGGCCTTCTGTCCTGTGAGCTTTCAAGCTGCACTCAATGTTTCATTTTCCTTAATGAAACTGCATCTGAATGGAAGGATTCTTTTCTGTTCCTCCTTAGAGGGTTGGGCCAGGGTCATCTGCCAGCTCCCCCACTGAAAAGTGGAATATACGGTAACAGAATAATGGAGTTGGAAGGGACCTTGGAGGTCTTCCAATCCAACCTCTGCTCAAGCAGGAAACCCTACCATTTCAGACAAATGGTTGTCCAATCTCTTCTTAAAAACTTCCAACGTTGGAGTACCCAAAACTTCTGGAAGCAAGCCATTTCCCTCAATTAATTGTTCTGTCAGGAAATGTCTCCTCATTTCTAGGTTGGATCTCCTCTTGATTACTTTCCATCCATTGCTTTTCTCCTGTTTTCAGATACTTTGGATAACAGGCTGACCCCCTCTTTTTTGTGGCTGTCTCTTAGATTTATTTATTTATTTAGTCAATTGCTTACAAGATAATAGGTATAAGTAAAAACATAGTTATGAATACATGGATACATATAAGAAATATAAAAGAAACAATAGGACAGGGACGGTAGGCACGTTGCTGCGCTTATGCACGCCCCCTACAGACCTCTTAGGAAAGGGGTGAGGTCAATAGTAGACAGTCTAAGGTTAAAGTTTTTGGGGTTTGGGGAAGAAACCACAGAGTCAGGTAGAGTATTCCAGACATTGACCACTCTGTTGCTGGTTGTATTTCCTGCAATCAAGTTTGGTGCGATTAACCTTGAGTTTGTATCTATTGTTTGCTCTTGTATTGTTATGGTTGAAGCTGAAGTATTCATTGACAGGTAGGACGTTGCAATGTATGATTTTATATACTATACTTAGATTGGACCGAAGGCGGCGTAGTTCTAGATTTTCTAGGTCTAGAATTTCGAGTCTGGTGGCATAAGGTATTCTGCAATGAGTAGAGGAGTGGAGAACTCTTTTTGTGAAATATTTCTGGACTTTCTCAACTGTGTTAATATCAGATACGTAATGTGGGTTCCAGACTGATGAGCTGTATTCGAGTATTGGTCTAGCAAATGTTTTGTATGCTCTCATTAGTAGTGTAATATTACCAGAGAAAAAGCTACGTAAGATTAGGTTAACAACTCTTAATGCCTTTTTGGCTATGTAGTTATAGTGGGCTCTAGCACTTAGGTCATTAGAGATGAGTACTCCAAGATCCTTGACAGAGTTTGGATCATCAACAAGGTCTTGACTGTTCAGCCTGTATTTTATTTTCTGATTTTCTTTGCCAATATGTAGGACAGAGCATTTATTTGTTGAGATTTGAAGTTGCCATTTGTTTGACCATTGATATTGGAACAGTGCTGCTATCATGCAACACCCCCGCCCACAGTCCTTCTTTTCATTAAACTAGACTTGCTCCCTTTCAAAGACATAAAAAAGAGCTGCTACCCAGGAGAAGGACCCTAATCAGCCTAGAACGGTGTAATTCAGCTCTTGTCCTTTTTTTCAGCCAGCGGACACGACTTCCACCTTCTATTTTGGAAGCGAGGTTCGTCTTTTCCTTCTGCCTAGGAAAGTGTGACGGTGGCGGTGGGAGCGGAAGGCGATGGTCGCGGGCACGCGCGGCAGCGACAACGCGCCTCGCGTGTGCACGCCACCCCCAGTGTACCGCCGTCGCTTACCGCTTTCCTGTTGTCAAGGGCGGATCGGGGTAAGGAATCAAGCGGGCGAGGTACCGGCTGGTTGCACTGCTGGCGCCGGATTTCCCCGGGTGCGTTTGGGGGTCCCTAAAGAGAGGCGGATGCGCCGTCTCTTTGTGTAAACACTCCGCACCCTCCTCCCGCCTTAGTTTTCACCAGGGAGGCCGGAGAGGGGCTTTTCGGAGCCGAGAGCCACTTGCGGCCGCTGACCCCCTGGGCTAACGGAGCGCAGAAAGAGGGAACCGGACCCTCACGAGAGGCTGCAAGCTTGGCCGCCGGCTCGTCTCCGTCCACGCAGACACGTTCGTGCATTTGGCGTTGGCGGCGTTGTGGCGTTTGCAGACCTTGTGGGCGGCGGCAAGACGGCCTGGAAAACCGAGCGGCGTCTTGCTGGAGGAGGGCGTCGCTTTCTCCGACTCCCACCCTCGGGGCTTTCCCCGAGCGAGCGAGGGAGGGAGGGAGTTTCAACCCTGCTCCTGCCGTGGCGGCTGTTTAAGAGGAGGCGGCGGCGGTTCCTTGGAGTCAGTCGAGTCGAGTCGAGCCAGTTTAGGTTGCGAACCAGCTGGTCACGAGTAGTTCAGTTCTCTCACCCGGAAGCTTGTTTGATTTTTATCGACTGAGGCTTCTCCAACTTGGCGCCCTCCAGATGAGGGGTCTGCGACTCCCATCCTTCCTTGCCAGGGAAGGTGGAGGGCGCCATGTTCCATTAGAACTGGAGAGGATAAAACACCAGGACTCTGGGAAAGGGGAAACTGCCCTCTAGCCGGCAGGTTTATGACATTAATTGGAAAATTGCTCTTAGATTCTGACTTTTAAGTTTACGTTAATATTTGTGCGTTGTATTTAAAAAACAAAACCCTTTCTGTATTGAAACTGTAGACTCCAGATAATTGTATTGGGGAGAGAGAAATGAACTTAATTTGGAAAAACCTGTAAAGATTCTTTCAGTAGGAATCTAGTGGCTTTATCCTGCTTATTATGCAATAGTGAGGGTACTTTTTTGTAGAGTTTTGTTTTCTTTTAAGCACTATACATGGGAAAGATTTTTTTTTATCTTTTAAGAATCTGTCTCCCAGAATTGCATAAATAATTGCTTTATTGCTGTCCTGTACTTTGGTTCCTTTTCTTTTAGTTCATAATTCATATTTAGTTTTGTCACTAATTTACTTTTATTTTTGTAAATAATTTGTATTACAGTTTAAAAATGCAAAGACTAAAAACCTAATACAAGCTAAAAAAATACAAAAAGCAACAAGTAGAGGGAAAAGTGGGAGAAGGAAAAAAATAAAAGAAAAAAGGGATTTTTTTTCTTTATAGGTTTTTTTCTTTCTTTTTACTGTAACTCAGAACCAAGTTACATTTATGTTGCCGAAGATGCTGACTAGATTCAGAGGATGCAAAAATATTGTGTAAACTAATTTGCCCAACTTCACAACTTCAACTTCGTGACTTAAGCATGGTTTGGCTGCTCATAAGTAAATGTATCATGCCAATATAGTTAATGAAAGGTGACATTTAAATGCTGACCTCATTTTTCAGGTTTCAGTCTCCCAAATGTTAAGGGTTAACAAGGGGAGTAGATTTCATTTTCCTCAGTGCCCTCCAGGATGTTTCTTACACTCCAGGCTGAATCATTTAAAAGTGCCATCCTGTTTATTCCTATTCAAAAGTATCATTGTATTTGTTGGCATTTGCCCCATGAAATGTACTAGGAATTTAATATATTTAATATATGCCTTTACCAAGATGCAGTACAAACAAAAAAAAATCCATAATAATTACCGGTACAAGGTATAATCTAACTAAATTATGTTAGAACCCAGCAAACAAATATTAACATCAAAACAACCAACACAACAATATATTTAAATAATGCCCTGCAATAACACTGAGTTTGTAGACATTAATAATCATTATAATTCTGGACTCTGGTTTTAATGTTGCTGCCTATTTATTTATTTGATAGATTTGTGTTTATCAAGTCATCCATCTTTTTTTCCTGTAAGGTAGGTTGGATTGTAAGAAAGTGTATGGCTCAGAGTCACCCATGAATTTCCATAGCTTGGATGTGGATCTATGCTATAGATAACTATTATGCTATAGATCTTTCAATATGTTAAACAAGACTAGTGATATGATAAAAGTCTTGATCTGGTTCCCTAGACAAGATGTTCCATCTATAGCTCTGAAGATAATTTGCAATCACTCTAGCTTGAATAGTATCAAAAGGCCATAATAATTGGAGCATTTGCACAAGTACAGCCATTGTGCGAATTGTTCCTTCAGATAATCAGAGTTGGAAGGGACCTTATTGGTCATCTAGTCCAACTCCCTGTCCAAGTAGGAGACCCTACACCATTTCTGACAAATGGCAGTCCAATCTCTTCTTGAAAGTGTCAAGTGATAGCACTCCCACAACTTCCGAGGGCATTGGTTGTGCTCACTGTCAGAAAGTTTTTCCTTATTTCCAGGTTAAATCTGTCCTTATTCAGTTTCTATCCATTATTCCTTGTCTGGTCTACAGGCGCTTTAGAAAATAGCTTGACCCATTCCTCTCTGTGGCAGCCCCTCAAATATTGGAAGACCGCTATCATGTCTCCCCTGGTCCTTCTCTTCACTAGACTAGCCATGACCAGTTCCTGTAACCATTCTTCATATGTTTTAGTCTCCAGTCCCCTAATCATCCTGGTTGCTCTTCTCTGCACTTTTTCTAGAGTCTCAACGTCTTTTTTATAATGTGGTGAACAAAATTGGATGCAGTACTCTAGGTGTGGTCTTACTAAGGCTATAGAAGAGTGGTATTAGTACCTCACTTTGATCTCGATTGTATCCCTCTGTTAATGCAATTTAGGATTGCATTAGCTTTTTTGGCTGCTGCTGCACACTGCAGGCTCATATTTAGCTGATTGTCCACTAAGACTCCAAGATCCCTCTCACAGTTACTTCATAGTTACTTTCCATAGATCAATAGTCATTACATGTGGTTACTCTCATATTTTTGTCATTTCATGTATTGTATGTTACTGTTGCATGAGACCTCCTGGGTTCGGTTTATGGTCATTTACTCACATGCAGCCCTAGAAAATAGCTACACTCAAATCATCTTCAATTGAATGCTGATCCACAAATGGTTCTTTAGAATACATGGAGACCTGGTGAATTTAAAATAACAGCAAACTATACTGGTTACAATGTATATACCCATGATGGCGAACCTATGGCATGCATGCCACAGGTGGCACACACAGCCATTTGTGCCGGCACGTGAGCTGCAGGCAAACTTACCTCACTGCGCATGAGCGCGCCTCACAGCTGATTTCAGCAGGTTTGAGGCCTTTTTTGGCCTTCCAGAGGCTTGAGGAAGGCTTCTGCTGGCTTCTACAGGCTTTACAGGGTGAAAACTAGGCCCGTTTCATCACTTCCTGTTTTTCCAGAAATACCGGAAGTGACAAAACGGACCTAGTTTTTGGCCTGCAAAGCTTACAGAAGTCTTCCTCAAGTCTCTGGGAGGCCGTAAAAGGCCTCAAACCGGCCAAAAATCAGCTGTGAGGCTCAGTGCAGGTAAAGGGGTGGGGTGGGGATTGTGTGTGCATGCGTAGGGGGCATGGGGGGGCGAGCATTGCTTCTGGGTGCTGGCACCCGAGCGTGAGTGTGCAAACACACACACAATTAGGCTAAAGACCCTGATACAAGCAAATTGAAGGAGCCCCTATGGGATCACCACTGTCACCCGTCTTTGCAAACCTGTTCATGGAAGAATTCGAATCCAGAGCCCTGGCTAATGCCACCCACAAACCCAAACTATGGTTAAGATACATCGATGACACATTTGTGATTTGGCCCCTTGGAAAAGAAAACCTAAACAATTTCCTAACACACCTAAACAGCACACACCCCAAAGTCAAGTTCACCATGGAAACGGAAACAAACAAACAACTACCATTTCTAGATGTACTAATCTACAAAAAAACAGATGGCACACTAGGACACACCATATACCAGAAGAAAACACACACTAACCGCTACCTCAACGCCCAATCCCACCACCACCCAGCACAGATAAACTCCGTGGCCAAAACACTAATCACTAGAACCAAACGCCTGGCAGACAAGACACACATAAAGACTGAACTATGCACCCTGACTAAAGTACTGACAGCCAACGGCTTCCACAAAAGCAAAATCACCGGCTTGATCCACAAAAACACACTGAGACATAATGGAGACCTAGAAGATGAACAGACCTATGGAACAGCTGTCCTGCCCTACATAAGAGGTACTACAGACAAAATCAGTAAGATACTACACAGGCATCACATCAAGACTGCCTTCAAAACAGACAGAAAAATAGCAGCCATCCTTAGAAACCCCAAAGATAAAATTGACCTGGAAAACCAAGGCATATACGAAGTCCCCTGTGCATCATGCCCGGCCACATACATTGGACAGACCAATAGAAGAATAAGTACCCGCCTGGATGAACAAAAAAATGCAGTAAAAAAGCTGGAACACACTTCCTCACTAGTCCAACACATGAAAGCCACAGGTCATAGCATCAACTTCAATGGCACAAAAACCCTCGCCACTATAGAAAACCCCAGCCACAGAATCATCAGAGAAGCCATAGAGATTGAAAAAAGACCAGAAAGCATGAATAGAAGAGATGATTCCACCAGACTGTCAATCATTTGGAAGCCTGCACTCACAAACAAAAAAATCACACCACTAGCCAGGCAAACACCTGGGCACAAACAGATCCCCCCTGATACCTCCAGCTCAAACACACCCCAACCAGGCACCCAGATGAAACCTAGCTTCCTAACAAATGATAGCCGTCCATTTACTTGGAGCCAAGCTGCACTAAAAGCCTCCGATTCAGGAACACAAATCAAGACACACAAAAAAAGCCACAAAACAGACAGAAGATATTAGAAACACCAATCAAGCAGAACACAGAAAACTCCGAGACCAATAAACACAGACCAAGACTCCCAACCAATCAGGATGAAGAAAAAAACATTCTGGCACAGCAGTAGGCTAGCCCCAAATTTAAAACTGAAACCACTGTAAAAGTCTGACTCACAGACGAATACAATACAGAAGCCTGATGATAGCAGATGAGATTCTGCCGAAACATTGCTACAACTTTAAAAGCACAACTACAATGACGTGGGAAAATACCCGAACAAAGCTATATATGTATGTATGTATGTATGTATGTATGTATGTATGTATGTATGTATGTAAAAGTTCCCCCACACATGCATGCTAGTCGTTTCTGGCTCTAAGGGGCGGTGCTCATCTCCATTTCTAAGCCAAAGAGCCATCGCTGTCCGAAGACGTCTCTGTGGTCATGTGGCCAGCATGACTAAATGCTGAAGGCGCATTGAGCGCTGTTACCTTCCCACCAAAGTGGTCCCTATTTTTCTACTTGCATTTTTGTACGTCCTTTCAAACTGCTAGGTTGGCAGAAGTTGGGACAAGTAACGGGAGCTCACTCTGTCCAACCTTCTGACTGACAAGCTCAGCATCTTAGCCACTGAGCCACACCATCTCGTGTGTATGTGTGTGTGTGTGTATCACATGCCTTTCACATGTGTGTTGTGTATGTATCACACACACACACACAGCCACAGTTAGCCTCAACTCTGCTGGTAGGCACTAACTAGAGGAACGAAAGGTGCCACGTCTGGATCCAAAATCACTCCAAGAATGGGTGGTCTTTTATCTCCCAAAGTCCTTGCTTTGTTGAGTCACAAGACTGGCTGCTACTCTTACCTTGTTGATTTACAAGTCTGGTAGCTCTGATGGAATTTGGAGAGGGGTTTCCCAAGTGCTCAAACCCAATTTCTTTTGTCTGGTTTAGGTGACATTTTCCTTTGTTTCCTTAATGACTTGGTTCCTTCTTATTTATTTCCTGAAGGGATCTTTTAGATAAGAGCCTGGTCCTGGTTGCTTACCTGCCTGCATCATTTTTAGGTATGGAAGCTTCAGCCTAATCTTAAACAACTCACTGTACATTGGACTGTTTACATTCAGAAGCTTAGTTCATGTGGCTGCCTGAATAGTTATTGACATATCTAAATTTACCCACGGAACAGTTCTATTCACGGAGAAGCATTGGCTGCTGGTTAACTTCTGAGGTACAATTCAAGGTTCTGGTTGTCACCTACATGATTTGACCTGGATATCTTCAAGAGCATCTAACTCCAAAGTGAATCTGCCCATCCAGTGAGATAAGAGAGGGCTTGTGGAGATCCTGCTCCCAAGGGGAGTCCATCTTCCGAGACCCTGAATTTTTGACTTTAGCCTTTTCACATCCAAACATCCTCTTGCAGTTGAGCTTTGGCTGGTCCATGAAAACATGGCCCCTTGAGAGAGCATGTGGCAGGTGTTAAGGTCTGACTTCCTCCTGGTGAATGGCGCTGTTTCTGTTTTGAAATTACACATGTATAGAATATATGTATTCTATATATGTATAGAATAAGTGTGTGTATATGACATAAATCAAAGGCTATGAAAAAAGATCTTGCAAACTGTAAAAATAAGAATGCTTTTAACTTTTCTTCCTTTTTCTTTCTTTTTTCTTTCTTTTCAATCTTTTCTTTCTTTTCTTCCTTCTTTTTTCTCTCTCGTTTATTTGTGTATGTATCATTGGTTGTTTTTAATTGTAAAAACTAATAAACTGTTTTTAAAAAAAAAAGAAAAAAAGAAATTACACATTGAATTATACACTGTTTTAATTTTTTATGACTTTATATCAGTTAGAGGTGCAGGAATGAAGTAGCACAGAAATCCAGCAAAGTAATATATACATTTCCTCTTTCAAGATCTCTCACTGTCAGAGTAGGAAATGTAG